CCTGGGTGTGACACCCCACAACCCCTGCATCCCACAGGGCCGTTTGAGGATGCCCTGAAGCTCCACGAGTGCATTGCAGGGGGTGCCAGCAGCCCCCCCATCGAGGACCAGTGGCCGAGCCCCCCGACAAGGAAAGCCCCCATCGCCCCCACGGAGGAGCAGCTGCGGAAGGAGCCCTGGTACCACGGGAGGATGAGCAGGAGGGACGCCGAGAGGCTGCTGCAGATGGACGGGGATTTCCTGGTGCGGGACAGCCTCACCAACCCCGGGCAGTACGTGCTGACAGGAATGCACAGCGGGCAGCCCAAGCACCTCCTGCTGGTGGATCCCGAGGGAGTGGTGAGGGCTGAGGGCAGGGGATGGGGTGGGGGATTGGGGCAGGGTGGTGGGGATGCAGCTATGGGGTGTCGGAAGTGGATGCTTGTCGCTATAGGGCACAAAACAACACACACCACTTCCCTTTTCTTCTCAACGTGAAGAAAATTGAAGTTTATTTTCTGATTCCAACTGTGACGGTGTTCACAGGGGTCTTATGTTGAGGGAAGAGATGAGGATCTGACTCCATGTTTCAAAAGGCTTGATTTATTATTTTATGATCTATATTGCATTAAAACTATACTAAAAGAATAGAAGAAAAGGTTCTCCTCAGAAGGCTTAGCTAAGAATAGAATAGCAAAGAATGATAACAAAGGCTTGTGGCTCAGACAGAGAGTCTGAACCATCTGGGCTGTGATTGGCCATTAATTATAAACATCCACATGAGACCAATCACAGATGCACCTGTTGCATTCCACAGCAGCAGATAACCATTGTTTACATTTTGGTCTTGAGGCTTCTCAGCTTCTCAGGAGGAAAAAATCCCAAGGAAAGGATTTTTAATGAAAAGATGTCTGAGACATCCAACATTCATAGTTTTCCAAAAGTGATGTGGATTGGAAGGTGAAAATGCCACCTCTCCAATCACACTGGGCAAACCAACAGTCCATCAAATTTCTCCTCCATGAAAGAATGCAAAATAATAAGTTATTTACAGAAAGCGTGTGAGGAAGTTTGCCACAAGAATGTAAACATCAGAAGGCTTAGAAAATCTTAAAAAATCAGGGTGACACCCCCAGGACACCGGCACAGGTGTGAGGTGCCCCCATGTCACTGTAGGACACGAAACAACACACAGCTGATCTCAAGGTGAAGAAAAAGGGAGTTTATTTTATGATTCCAACATTTATAGTTTTCCGAAAGTGACAGTGGATTGGAAGGCGAAAATGCCACCTCTCCGATGACACTGGACAAACCAACAGTCCATCAGATTTCTCTTCCTCCATAAATAATGCAAAACAATGAGTTATTTACAGGAAGCGTGCGAGGAAGTTTGCCACGAGAATGTCAACATCAGAAAATCTTAAAAAATCAGGGTGAGAGGCAGCTGTGCTGAGCTGAGGACCGCTGTGCCCTGCTGCAGGTGAGGACCAAGGACGTGCTGTTTGAGAGCATCAGCCACCTCATCAGCCACCACCGGCAGAACGAGCAGCCCATCGTGGCGGCCGAGAGCGAGCTGCACCTGCGCCAGGTTGTGCAGAGGAAGCAGTGATGCCAAGGGGGTACGTGAGCCCCCGACCTGCTCCCCCGGCTCTGGACTCGCCCCAGGGCAAATCTGGGGTCCCTTCGTGCTCCCCCTCTCCAGTTGTGCCTGGATTTTGAGGTTTGGGGTCAGGCTCCCCGTTTTCCTCCCCAGTGAGGCTGGGTGGTGCCTGGCCCTGCGGGTTTTCCCTGGGTTCTGCCTACCTCCAGCACCTGCATGGGGTGCCCTGCCCAGCTGGACACGCAGAGGTTTAATTCCACACCTACAGGTGAAAAGTTCTTGGGGTGGGACCTGCTCAGTGGCCTCAGCAGGAGGGACAGAGCCTGAAGCCACCTCAGGCAGGGCTGTCCCCACCTGCCCCGGCACTGCAATGGGGCTGGTGGATGTTGCTGCAGCCCCTGGCTTGGCTCTGCCTGTGGGGCCAGGCACAACCTTCTCTTGGACACTGCTGTTGGATGTTCCTGTTGGGGACGTCCCTTTTCAGCTGGATTCTCCCAGAAGTGGCTGCCACAGGATGATGCTCCACGTGTGCCCTGCAGCCCCTGCAGCCAAGCCAGGGCCAGGATGGGGCTCACGAAGGCTCATGAGGTGTCCCATGGCCAGCTCAGGGGTTTTGCCAGGTTTTTGTGCCATCACAGCCTCCTTTACCCGCCCTGTGTCTGGTGCTGGGCACGGGTTTGTGCTTTGGAATTAATTTCTAATTAAACCTGGAGATAAGAAAGGAACGCAGGTGGTTCATGCTGGGACAGGTCTCCATCACCACCAGCTCCTGCCTGGTCTCACCTTGGCCAACCCATCCTGTCCAGTCACACTTATCCCTGTGGGTCACCCAGTGTCCCCCAGGGGTCACCCAGTGTCCCCTATGGGTCACCCAGTGTCCCCCTGGCTTCAGAGTGGCCTTTGGCACCCAGGGCTGGCCCTGCACGGCCTCTCCTCCTCTCACCTGGCAGCTCCCTGCCCTGCTGGCTCTCCCAACCTGCCTCCACCTGGAGCAGCCACCCCTGGGGTGGCTCTGAGTGGCACAAACCCAGCTGTGACCCACTGTGGGTGACAGCAGAGCCAGAGCTGTGGGTGGGTCTGGCTGTGGCTCCCGTGTCACAGACAATTGGGGGGTCCAGCTCCAATCCTGGCTCTGCTCTGTGTCCCCAGCACCCACCTTGGGGAGCAGGGTCACCCCAGCACCCTCAGCCCCTCGCTGGGGATGGCCCCTGCTAGATCTGGCCCCTGCCAGCCGAGCCAATGAATAAAATGAGCCCCGAAATAAAGCCCGGTAATGAATGTGTAATTTTCCATTGATAGCTGGATTCCGCGGGGACGACGCGGCGCTTCCATCTCAGCTGCTATTTTCTGTCGTGGAGTGATGTGTCTGCAGAGATAATTGCACTGTTCCCTCAATAGAGGCAGGGAAAGGCAGTGAGGGCCCCCGACTTTCTTATTTCACAGCTGGAGAACCAACCGAGCTCCTCTGGTTCACCTGCTGGTGGTGCCTCGCCCTGCAGCCCTGAGGATGCTGCCCTGGAGGGATGGAGGGCTGGTGGGGAGCTTGTTTCAGGGGTTTAACTGTTGCAGCTTGAATATTTAACCACTTTGCAGCTTGAATATTTCAACCCACTTTGGTTGAGGACGGTGTTTGGTGCCAATGGGTGCAGGGGGCTCTGTGCCTCAACCCAGAGCTGGGTTGGAGGGCTGCTGCTTCTTCATCCCCTGTGATGGGAAGGCTGAGGTGTTTTGGGAGGAAGAGCAGCTGCAGAGAACGTGGCCTCCTTGGAAATCTCTCTGACCAACCCACCCCTGCACCTGTCTCAACTGTCTCAGACCACAGACACGCCCAGTTCGATTTTTCAGGGCACAAACCCTTTCCCACGGCAGCTCTCCCTCCTCCTTCCCATCTTCCAGCAGGTGGTAGCACACTGCCGGCTCCACCAGCGATGTCCCCAGCCCTGCCGGCGTCCCCAGCCCCGCCGGTGCTCAGCTCGGAGCCCCCCGTTCCCCTCCGTGCCCCGCGGGCACCGGCAGAGCTGGCCCGGCCCCGGCTCTCTTTGTTATCTCAGGGGAACTCAACCATTCGTGCTCCTTGTTTACCCGCAGTTTCGCAGGGTGGAGGAAAAGCAAACATCGGCCTTTTGTTCGCCAGCTTCCCCTTCCGTGAGCCTCGTCCTCCTCCTCCCCCGGGCTTCATCTGCCCTCTGCTCCCTGCGGAACCCCGGGGTGATGTCCCCATCCCCATCCCATCCCCACTGCTGTCCCTGGGACATGCCAGCCCTCGGACGCCTCTCTTTGCCTGCTCCGAGTGCGGATGCAGAGGGAGCCGAGGCCGCACAGCCCCCGCGGAAGGCGCTGGCCGCACCAGGCTGTTCTTCCTTCCATCGCCAGCCCTGCTCTGCTCAGGGATGATGATGGAGCTTCCTGATGGCACCCACAGGGCAGCAGCCGGGAGGGAGCAGCCGCTGGAGCCTTGTGTGGCACTGTCCCTGTCGGTGCATCCCTGTCCCCAAGGCTGTAAATCCCCGGGGAACGGGCTGGGCCCCATCGCTCCGTTGATTCTCCCGACCCCCGCAGCACCGGGGCTCGCTGTGATGCTCCGTGAACCCTCCCGATGTTTTGTCCCGGTGTCCCCAGCCACCACCGCATCCCTGGGTTGTGTGACACGGGGGAGTGTGACATGTGGCACTGTCCCATCCCCCGCAGCTCCTCCAGGGTAATATTAAACCACTCCATGAGGCAACTCCTCAGCCCCGAGATGCTGCTGGCTTCATTCAGTGCTTGGAGATCACGAGCTGGGAGTGGGGAGCGGCTGCACCCAGAGGGGAAAGACCCCGCTGCGGGCTGGGGGCACCGGGAGGGGCGGAGCGGGGCTGCTGCCGTCCCGATCCCACTCCTGACCCCATCCCAAACCCGACACTCCCGTGGGAACGCGGCCGGGTGTCCGGGCTCGGGTTCCTGCACCTCTCGAGCATCAGCACCCGGGGGGCTCACGGTCCCAGTCCCGGTGCCACTCGGTCGGGTCCCAGTCCCGGTGCCGCTCGGTTCGGATCCCAATCCCGGTACCGTTCCGTCCGGGTCCCAGTCCCAGTCCCGCTAGGTCGGGGTCCCGGTCCCGTTCGGTCCTGGTCCGGCTCGGCCCGGGTCCCGGTCCCGTTTCCAGCCCTGGTTGCGGTCCCGGTCCCGGTGCCGCTCGGTCGGAGTCCCGGTCCCGTTTCCAGCCCCGCTCGGGCAGAAATGAGGGGGCGCCGCACTCGGAGGATTACGGCGCGGACGGGGAGCGGAGCCGCCGCCGCCGCCGCCACCGCCGCCGTATAAAAGCGGCGTCCGCGCCCGCCCCGCCCGGGCTGCGGTGGCGGCGGCGGCTCCGTTCCAGGTGCGGCGGCGGCTCCCGGCAACGTCCGGCTCGGCGGCGCCGCTCGGTCGGTCCTTCCGTCGGTCCCGGCCTCGCGTCTGCCCCGTCCCATCGCATCCCTGTCCCCCGGGTCCCCGCTCCTCGCGGTCGGTTCCTTCGCGCTCCTCCCCGGGCTGGCGCGTCCCCCGGTCCCTCCGGTGCTTGTCCCGTCCCCCCGCCCGCCCGGCTCGCGTCTCTCGGTGCCGCCGGTCGCTCCCGGTGCTTCCGGCTTCGTCCTGCCTCCGCCGGTGCCCGACCCCCGGTGACAGCGGTGCCCCTCGGGTCTCTTCCAGCCCCACATCTCGCAGCAACATGTGGCTGCTGGAGCGGCTGCGCGGGGTGGCGGAGAACGGCGGCTCCCGGGGCGCGGGGACGGACGAGTCCTCGCGGGGATCCCGCTACAGCAACGTCCTCACCCCCGACAAGATCCCCGACTTCTTCATCCCGCCCAAGCTGAGCGCGGCTCCCGCCGAGGCCGAGGGCTCCGAGGTGCCCGCAGGGGCCGCTCTGGGCGCCTCGGTGTCGGAGCAGGACCTGGCCAAGCGCAAAGCCCCGCGCAGCCCGCGCCCGTCCAGCCGCTCCCGGTCCCGCACCCGCGGGCGGCACATCATCCAGATCGAGACCGCCGAGGACTGGACCGAGGGCGGCACCAACGTGGACCCGCAGGCACAGACGGCCATGTCGCTGCCCTACGTGCCCAAGGCTCAGACCTCGTACGGCTTCGCCACGCTGATGGAGAGCCCGCACACCCGGCGCAAGGAGTCCCTGTTCCACAGCGAGCACAGCAGCCTGTGCCCCTCGCCCGTCACCTCGCCCGGCGCCCAGCGCAAAGCCAAGCTCAACGGCGACAGCGGCCGCCGGACACCGGCGGATCTCGGCGCCGCCCTGATGCACCCGGGCCGGTATTTCAGCGGCGGAGAGAGCGACACGTGCTCCTCGGCCGAGTCCTCACCCTTCGGCTCGCCGCTGTTGTCGCGCTCCGTGTCCCTGCTGAAGCTCTTCAGCCAGGAGAGCCAGTCCAAGGTGATCAAGCTGAAGCACTCGGTGGCCCGCAACAGCTCGCTGAGCACCGACGACAGCTCCGCCGACACCAGCCCCAGCGCCCAGCGCCGCGCCCGGAGCGCCCCGGCCGGGACTCAGCAGCCGCCGACCGCCGTGCTGCCCCTGGAGCTGCCCGCGGGCCGGGACCGGGACCGGGAGCACAGCCTGCGGCTGAGCCGGGGCGGGAGCCTCCGCCTGGCCGCTGAGTACGACCCCTCCAATGCCCGGCTGCGAGTGCGCCTCGTGTCCGCCGAGGACCTCTACGATGCCCTGGTCGACCTGCGCAGCATCAACTGCTGCGTCTCGCTGTGCCTCAACCCCGGCAAGCTGCAGAAGCAGCGCAGCACCATCGTCAAGAACAGCCGCAACCCCGTCTTCAACGAGGACTTCTTCTTCGATGGGCTGGGCCCCGGGCACGCCAGGAAGATGTCCCTGAAGCTCAAGGTGGTCAACAAGGGCAGCAGCCTTAAGCGGGACACGCTGCTGGGGGAGAAGGAGCTGCCGCTCACCGCCCTGCTGTCCTGCCTGTAGGTACCTGCTGCCAGCCCCGAGGGAGCCCTCCCGCCTGTGGGGCCGGCGCTGTCCCCCAGCCCCGCTGCAGGAGGGTTTGGAAGGGCCCCCTGAGGAGGGCCGGGGTCGTGGCAGAGTGTGGGGATCCCCAGGAATGGGGCTCTGCCAACTCCAGCCGGCAGCCACAGCTTCTCTGCCCCTGCTCCCTCCCTGCTCCTGCCCCGGATGCAGCAGAAAATGGGGAGCCTCCAGCCCATTCCCCACCGCCAGGGAGGATGGAAGCACCTGTTGGAGCCTCCCCTCCCTGTGCCTGTGGTCTCCAGCTGCCACCAAGCAGGTTGGAGGTGGGTGAATCTCTGTAGCACACTTAGGGCCACCTCTGAAAGCCCCAGCACCTGTAGTCAGGTGACAGCTTTAATTTAAAAGACAAGTCGCTGGGCTTGGAAACTGCAAAGAAAATACTGCAGAGGTGACCTCAGAGTGGGCCCAGGGCGGTCAGCCTGGAGGATGAGTCAGGTTTGTGGCTTTTGAGCCTTTCCTGGGCTCGGCCCAGCCCTGTGAGGCTGCAAGGTTGGCTTGGTCTGAGCCCTGCAGCCTCCTGGGCTGCCCTCCCTGCCCACCCCAGCACTGTCCCCACTGCTGACCCCACTGGAAAACTGCTCATGGAGCATTGGGGGGTTTGGTTTGCCCAAATCCAGGAGGCTGCCCGTGCCTTTCCCACAGGAGGGAGATGCCAGGGGCTGGCACTCCTTGCCCTGGGCACAGGCAGTGTCCCAGCAGATGTGCCTGCTGACAAAAGCTGAGATGGCAGGAGCAGCCCCACCTGAGTGCAGGTGAGGCTCCACACCCCTCCATCCTCCCTTGTCTATGAGAGAATCTTCCAAGTGGCAGCAGAGATGTGTCCTGTGGGGCCACCAAGCCCCTGTGCCCAGCAGGATCTGACATCCCAAAGCACCGGCCTGGTTTTCAGCTTCCCTTTGGAGCTCGGTGCTCCCGACCCTCCCCATGCCACCGTGTCACCCTCCAGAGTGCCTGGGGACAATGAGGGCGGGGAGGGCCCAGGCGGGGCATTCCTGCGGGCGGATCAAACACTCTGCGTCGTTGTTCGGTGTGGTGTCACCCTTTGTGTCGGGCTCTGCATGTTTCTGTGCGGGGAGCAGGGCTTGCAGCGCTCCCGTGGACACACACACACACACACACACACACGCACACACACACGTGTGTCCCCTCTGTGTTAACAGTCCATGTTCCTTCCTTGTCCTTTTGCAGCAGATGGCAGATCTCAGTGTTGACTATTTATACCCGAGGCTGATCTTTTTCGCAGCGTTTTATTTTGTCTGTAAATACGTTCCAGGTAACAGAGGCAGAGCCGTTGTTTGCGTGTCGGGGCGGGGTGGGGGGATCCAGGGTGGTCGTGGCTGTTTGCTGAGCTTGTGGCTGAAAACGAGCAGGACATGAGGAGCTGACATGTCCATCCTTCACAGGGGCTTTCCCACTTGAGGATTCCCTGCATCCCAGCACCAGGGATGGTTCCCCAGCCCCAAAATGCCCTGGTTCACCCTGAGGGCTCTGGGGACAGGGAGAGGGGTCACAAACAGGGTCTGGGTTGACCATTGTGCCCCTGAGGAGCTCTGGGGCAGGAAGGGGACCCTGCCCAGCTGGCAGCCCCCACACACCTCACCCTGTGCTCCTTGGGGTGCTGAGGGGACCCTGGAGCTGCTGGGATGGGGGGAAAGGCTGGAGGAAGAGGAGGAGTGGGAGCTGGGATGAAGGCTGTGGTGCTCTGAGAGGTTTGAGGGCTGACATCCCCTCAGAAGAACCGCGTGCCTTTGGGTTTGGGGAGGAGGATGCTGAGAGCAGGAGGCCAGGCCGACCCCAAAGGGAGACCCAAGGGGGGGTTGGGGACCCTCGTCCTGCCCCAGCCCAGCCTGTCCCAGGGCTGGATTTGGGTGTGTGACCATTCAGGGATTCACTGCTGTGAGCCCTGCTCTGAGCTGGGCTGGTGGTGTGGCAGCCAGGGCTGTTGCTTGGATGGGTCTCTCTCTGCTGCTGGAGCTGTTTTCTGTTGTTCCTGCTTTGATATTTCTGTGGCTGGATTTAACGATGTTTTTTTTTTGGAGTGAAAAAAAACACCATATATTAATACCTGAATGGAATGTTTGTTTACAGATTATTTCCTCTTTTTAGTGCAATAAAGTCATTTCTAAAACAGACGCAGGTGTGGCCCTGGCTCCTGCTTTCCCCAAAGATATTTCCTGGCATTATTCTTGATGGCTCCCTGTGTGCTCCCCTTTCCAAGCAGCCTTCCAGGGGCTCAAGGAGCTTCTGAAGCCCTTCCCCATGGGGTGAGGTGAGGGTGAATCTCTTGGGGAGATGGGGAAAGGTGCTGCTCCTGCTTGAGGGGGGACTCAGGGCTGTGCTGAGCCACGGCATTGCCAGCTCACAGCCAGGGCTGTGACACTCTGTGGGTGTCCTTCCTCCTCCTCCTGACCCCTGCAGCCCTCCTCAGCGCTGGAGATGAAGAAAATGGTGATGGTTTTGTTCTTGCCACTCCCCCTGCCCAGCTGACAGCATTCAGGTTGCTTTCTTTTCTCCCCCACCTGCCACTTCCAAATCTGTTCCTAGCCAGATGCTGCTGAAGAAAAAGAGGAGTGTTTGCCTGTTACCTAAATACCATTTTTCTAATTTCCACAATTCTGATAATTTGTCACTTTTTGGTAGCTACAGAGGCTGGGTGGGAACAGATCTGTTCTCTCACCTCTGGCCCCCACAGGGTTGCTGAAAGCAGCTTGGTGGGTGCCAATAATTTAAGTCATGCTTTTTCTAGAGGTCCAAAGCTGCAGCAGTCAGTAACAAAAACGAGGCTGATTAAGTTAGTCTGAACCAGAGTGGATGGGGTCAGCCTGAGCACACGAAAATCCCTGGAAAGTGTCCAACACTTGAAGCAGCCAGAGGGGTGGGGAGAGGGGCATCTTGTGGGGGAAGATTTAACTCTGAATTTGTAATTGAGACACCGTGGGAAGGAAATGTGCCTGCCTCAGTGGACCTGGGAGGGCTTGGTCATGCTGAGAGCTGGGAGGAAGAGGATGAGGCATCCTCTGAGGAAGAGTGTGACACATCCTCTGAGGAAGAGTGTGACACATCCCCACTGCACAACGCAGTCCCTGGGGTTGGGAGGTGCTCAGGTAAAGAGCAGCCAGGTGAAATTCAAGCTGTGCACACCAAGTGGTGTCTGAGCCCTGGGAGATTTCCCCTGCACAGGGGTCCTGAAGAATGTGCGACCCAATCTGTGCGGGGAAACTGAGGCAGAGCTGGACGTGGAGGAGCCCTGATCTCCAGAGAGAGGCACTGAGCCTCACCTGGCTGAGAGGCACACACAGGCCACGGCTATTTTTAGCCGTGTGTTCCCTCAGCGCCGAGGACTCAACTTCTGAGAAAATTGCCTGGAGCTCATTTGGCCGTGGCGTGATGGCTGGCGAGGGAGGGAGGGCAAATTAGGGGTTCAATTTCATCCAGGGTGTTCTGCAGGGCCGAGGCTGCCAGGAGGGCTCTGCAGCGAGGAGATCAGCGGGATTGTCACTGCTGGGGACACCCTGGTCCCACTGGGGACACTCTGGGGCTCCCGATGCCGAGGTATTCGGGGATCCTTGGCAGTTTTGGCTAGAGCCGTTTTGCCTTTTCCTCTGGGGGTTTTTTGGGTGCTGTCGAGGCTGGGGGAGCCCGGCGTGCTCCAGCCCAGCCCTTTCCCTCCCCCAACCCCCGACTCCGCTGCCGATTTCCCGTTTCGGTCAGAAAAGCATCTTCCCGTTGCTTGGCAACGCTCGGCCGGTGGCGGGGGGGGGCTCCAGGCAGGGATGGGGGTGGCCCCGAGGTCGGAGCCAGCTCGGTACCGGTGGTGACACCGCCACACCGTTCTGGACACCGGGACAGGGCGGGGAGAAGCGGCGGGAGCGGTCCGGGTGCAAGGAGGGAGCATCGGGCTCCCCCCGGCTGCAGCGCTTTATTGAGAACATTTGTCTTCCATGGCAGCGTGTCTGCCTTAGAGGGGAGAGCAGAGACTCCCACTGTTACTGGGAGGAAAACAGAACTTAATCGAATCTCGCAGTCTCTTCTGTGGAGAGCGACACCTCTGAATTACCCCCGGCACCCAGCAGCCTGTGCTGCTCCTCCAGGGGACACGGAAACCTCCCCAGAGCCCACCGGGGGCTGAGATGCCCTCCAGGCCCTTGTGAGCCCCGAGGCACTTGGCTCTGTGCTGAAATGCAGCTGCCAGGGTGTACATGGGGTGGGCAGAGCTGCCCAGCACTGCCAGACCCAGCAATGCTCCCTCTGCTCTGCTTTTCCATCTGCACTTTGCTCTCCTGCTTTGAGGCTGCCAATCCGACAGGGATCTGGGGAGGAAAAGGCAACCAGAGGATGGGAAATGGCACTTTGGACTCCACCTCCCACTTTGGATCCAGCCTTGACTTGGGGCTGGGGTCAGGGTGGGTGTACAGAACACAAGGAGCTGCAATGGGAGCATGCAGGGATGAATGAGGGTGAGAGCAGAAGTCTCTTCAGAGGAGAGTGACACCTCTGAATTACCCCTGGCACCCAGCAGCCTGTGCTGCTCCTCCAGGGGACACAGAAACCTCCCCAGAGCCCACGAGGAGCTGAGATGCCCTCCAGCTCCTTGTCAGCCCCGAGGCATTGGCACTGTGCTGAAATGCAGCTCGGTGGCAGCAGCTGCCCAGCACTGTCAGCCCCAGCAATGCTCCCTCAGTGCTGCTTTTCCATCTGCACTTTGCCCTCCTGCTTTGAGGCTGCCAATCCAACAGGGATCTGGGTTCAGATCGTGAGAGGAGCTCCTGAGCTGGGAGGAAGAGGATGATACATCCTCTGAGGAAGAGGGTGACGCATCCCCACTGCACAACGCAGCCCCTGGGGTCAGGGGGTGCCCACGTAGAGAGCAGCCAGGTGAAACCCCAGCTCATGCTCCCTCTGTTCTGCTTTTCCATCTGCACTTTGCTCTCCTGCTTTGAGGCTGCCAATCTAACAGGGATCTGGGCTCAGATCTTGCCTTTACAGCCAGGAAAAGGCAACCAGAGGATGGGAAATGGCACTTTGGTCTCCCCCTCATCGTTAATTCAAGCCTCTGGATCCAGCTTTGAATTGGGGATGGGGTAGGGTGGGTGTACAGAACACGAGGAGCTGCAGTGGGAGAGTGCAGGGAGCATGCAGGGATGGATGAGGGTGAGAGCAGCAGGGTGGAGGATCTTTGCCAGAATCCGTGTATTTAGTGCAATACAACAGATCTTCCCTGCCTCTCCTCACCCTCTCTGGTGATCTGCTCCTTGCTAGCTGCCTGGTGGACTCTGAAATTCTGCCTTTAAAACATTTACAAAATTCCCAAAGCATCAAGAAAGACCAGGTGGGAGGGGGAAAAAACAGCATAAATACCCAGACAGGAGGATTTGTTAAACACCAGCAGCTGCTGGC